TCCCTACATGGTTTTAGAAGGCTCACTAAATGATTTCTTGAAGGAACAAGAGTCAGAAACACATGCAGACAATGAGTAAAGTGTAGTATTCAGTAAGATTGCTTTTAAAGTTAGTTTTATACATTAACTTAACAGACACAAATAAATAATATAATACTATAGTAATTGTTAATGACAACTTCATAGATATTCACCCACTTCATAAAGAGAATAGAATTGAAGAATTCAGAGACTAATTAGAATAGCCATAGACACTCCTATCATGAATAGCAGAGCTTTGAATTCAAGCAGGACAAATTAGTTTTGCTAATTTTCTACTTGTCAATGCTGCCTCAATATTGAACAGATTGAAATACAATTCTTTAGCTTTTAATTTGCTCATGAGTAAATTGAGATGAAAATACCATATTGGAAAACATAATTTTTATTTCTGTGACAAAATTACTGACAATAACAACATAGAGAAAAATGAGCTTAAGAGAAATATAACCTAACAGTGTGATAAGATAGGGCCACAATAATATTAGCTGTCCAGTCACAGGATGGCTTCAATAAGAAAGAGGGAAAAGAAAATATGAGAACAAACCATAAAACTGCAAGGCTTAATTCCTGTTACTTCCATTATCTTTTGAGGCTGTATCATCTAATAATCCCACAACATTTGCAAGCAGCAACAAGAGCTGCTGACCAAGAGCTCAAACACATGAGTCCTATGGAGGATGGTGTTATAACAAAATGTATGCTAGATAGTCCTCTTTTCTGGAAGTATCACATATTAAATTACTTCATTTAATCAATGCATTGCACATAACAATCAATTATAGTATAAAATGTTTAATAAGCTCTCATGCTATATCAAATATAACATTGTAGATCATTTTGCATTATTCCTATTATTTTTATAATAATCTTATGAACTTCAAAGTTCATAATAATATTATTCTATAATATAATTTTACCTTATTAATTAATACTATTTATAATACAGTCCTATTATAGAAAACAAGTCTTTCTAATATGAAAATATCAAGAAGAATAAGCTCACATGTTATGATTTGATCTACAAGGATGTAATTAATTTGTTACTTCCAATAATCACATTTCTATCTTTCTTAGGTAACTTGCTCTTAGCGATGTAAACTAAATCAAAAACGACATTATTCCTATAAAAACTTCAGGACTTTTATTTGCATTTTGACATGATTAGAGTACAAGAATATAATAAGAAACAAACAAAACACTTTAGACAGTATATACTATATATGTTATGCATTCACTGTAATTATATAACAGTATAGACTATGTCACAGCAGATGAAACATTTTGTCTTTTATGTACTGATACATACTGTAAATTATAAAAGGGAGTGCTGTGGTTCTATCCCTTTGTATTGTCCATTTGGTAATAACAGGTTATATCAAATTAGGTGATTTGCATAGAAGAATACATGTCTAATAGCTCCTGCCACCCAGAAATCCAAGGGCTTTCTTGCTGTGTTCAGCAGGGCAAAAGGTTAAGCAGCATGTGTGTGTGTTTGTGTGTGTGTGTGTGTGTGTGTTTGTGTGTGTGTGTGTGTTTCTAAAAATGAGATGAGAAACAGACAAACAGAGAAAGAGACAGAAAGAAGGAAAGAGACACCAAGAGAAAGACAGGAAAGAGAGAGTGAGAGACTAGAAGAGGAAGAAAACTCCAGGTTCCCTTTTAAAGAAAGCCACTCTCCAGGGAGAATAATAAAAATCTGTTTCTGAGGGCAGTGCCTCTGACAGTTCCACTTCTTCACACTTTCTGAATCCATGGACTATGTGGAACACAATAAAATAATTTATTTTTATATTAAAAGCTAAAAAAATTGATTAGGAATATTAAAGAGTCTCCCAATATATTGCCTCTTATTTTTGTTTACCTAGTTGCTCCTCTGAAATGAATTGTATGTCTGTATTGTTTTTGACATTACATATTTCATTCAAAGGGCCCTAGAGGATCCTGAACTGGTAAAAATCTGATTGCTTTCTTCTTGTAGACTAGTTGTCAGTATACAGGAAGGTGATATGAAAACTTCTAAATTAGGGAAAATACACAGTATATATTGATTTACTTTTATTTAAACCAACATGATTTCCATTTTATTCCTGTTATTCCTTTTACTCACTTCATATAATCTACTCCCTTAAAATTCTTTCACATGGCCTCTGATTGTAGTTCTCAGATTTTGAAAGGTACTTCAATTTAAACACACATATCTAAAGATTGAGAGCAACCTTATAAAGAAGACATGGCCCTTGTCTTTCTTTGTCTAAGTTATTCTGATGAAAGTATATATCTAGATTCATCCATTTATCAGCAATATTGTAACAGGAGCACAATATATAAAGAAGTAAAACTATATCATAAATATATTACTTCACACACATTCCAAGTACAAAAACAAAAAAACAACAGCAACAAATCACTCCAGTTCGATCAAGGACTTCAATCTAAGACTTGATAACCTGACAAACTTAGAGAAAAAGCAGGGAATATGCTTCAATATATTGGCAAAAGAAAAAATATTCTCATTAGGAACCTAGGAACCTAGTATACAGATGTTAAGAGAAGATCATAAATTTGAGCAGGCATGGGAGATGTCACAGCAGGAGTTGGAAGCTATAAAGGAATGTTGAAATGATATAAACACATCACCTAACCATTTTGTCTCTTCAATATGCCTCCAAAGTTTATTTTAAAGAACTTATACTAATTAATCACTCTTCTGTGATAAAAAAAAATGTATCTGGTTCTCAATGCTTCCAAATTTATGTCTCCTCTGCATTGCTAATGGAACTATTAAATGTTCATTCTTTGTTTTATCTTCTATTTTTCCTATACAAACTATGCTTCCGTGCCATTAAACTGCACATTCCTCTAAGCTTCATTTTCTATTGTTTCTATACAAGCTGTGCTTCAGTCCAATTAACCTTCAAAATTCTGTATACTTACACCACATAGCTTCTAATCACCCTGCCAATTCAAGAGACCAGTTATCACTGGTACAGTCTATCAGTTTTCTGGATATCTTATGAATATTTTAAGGAGATGGGTGGTATTACTGGGGGGGGGGGCAAATGTGAAAACACACAGACCACAATCAAAATAAACAGATTGCTCTATAGATTCATTGCTCATTTTTCAGTAGAAACCTTTCCGAAAAGCCAAACGATAATGTGTGCTTCAAGTGACCAGTTATAGAAACAATGCTAGAAAAAGTCAGACATGTACAGGAACCAGTAGTAAAATATCTTTTCTAATCCACACCTAGCTTTCCATGCCAAGAGTCCCCAAAAATTCTTGGAGCCAAATTTTTTTTCTATAATGCTTTTCCCCTCTGTCTTCTACCTTGATGTATCCACTAGATTCTCACTATTATGGCTTACTCCCAGTGAAAACCAACATGCAAAAAAGTAATTTCTGCTTGTAGCTTTAAAGTTCATCTTCTTTGCATAAACAGGTCCATATTTTATAAGCATTTGGATATTAGGTTATATTCTGTCAAGACATAATGGTTCGGTGTTAACTATAGGGTAGCATTTTTTAATTCTTTTGGCAATAAGGAACACTAACAATGACCACTCCAAAATAGGAAGATTATAATCTTAATCTACAACAAAGGGTGAGGGGTGAACATAGACAAAGAAAGAGAAGGAGGTGGGATACAAATATGGAAAAGTGAAAAATTAATACATTCTCTAAAATTTATTCAAAAAACCTGATGCTGTAGAGAAAACTATTGGCCTAAACCTAAAGGGAACAGCACTTTCAATAGTATTTATTATCTAATACTTTCTTCTCTGATATGAAACACTAAGCAGCGGGCACGCTTGAATGATGATAACATGTATTTCTATAAGTAGTGTCTTTTCTATGTTTAGTTAGGGCAGTAAAATTTTGAGAATTTATAGCCTTACCTTAGTCCAGATTAACAAAATTGGGATTTGTATAGATTCTCTTATGACTCTAAGACATCAAGAGGAAGAAAGTAAATAATTCTAGAATCTTCTTAATAAAAATATCTATTCTCTAGTGGAAATAGCTTTACAAGAGCACAAAGAGTAAGAAACTCTCCAGGTGATAGAGAATTTTACCTTCTCATCTTCTCCAAACATCTTGTTCAATTAAGGAAGTAAAACAAGTATTTCAAAAGAATCACCTTGTCACCTCACAGTTTGCCATAAAAAAATAGCAGTAATCCAATGCAGTAATAGTTGAATATCATCAATAAAATGGAAATGAGAGTCAACAATTTACTCTTGCTGGATATCTGTCCATAGAGAAGTTCACTGACTCAAAGAAATACAACTACAGAGATCAACAAACTGTGATGTCTTTGGGTCTTACAGTAGCAACATGTATCAGACATTTTACTATTTCTATTCACTAGCATAAAATTTTATTCTAAGTTTATACTTATCTGGTCTAAATTCCCTCCTAAAAATAAATTACAAAGTAGGACAAAAGGTAAGACAAACACAGACAGTAGAAACATTGTAATCATGAAAACCAGGTTGAGATATGACAGGATTGTGATTACAGACAGAGACCTTAAAAGAGCTATGATTGTAACGTACATGCAGATAATATGTAAAACATATGGTAATTCGTGCAGAAAAAAATTCTAAAAGATGAGGGAAAGGAAATGTTGGAAATTAAATTCACAGTAAGAGAAAGAAAATGCCTTTAATAGATTTCTTCAGTAGAATACAGCATTGGGCTTAGGAAATATCAACATAATTAACTATAACTGAAATTTAAGAGAAATACAGGAAGAAATAAAAAATTCCAAAATAACAGAATAACATGAGCAAAGTCAGTTCTTGGGAATATACCCAAATGATGCTCAATTATACTACAAAAGCATTTGTTCAACTACGTTCATAGCAACATTATTTGTAATAGCCAGAACCTGGAAACAACCTAGATGTTCCTCAACTGAAGAATGGATAAAGAAAGTGTGGCACATTTACACATTATGATGTGGGAGTGATTTCTTATTAATAAAGAAACTGCCTTGGCCCATTTTATTGGATAGAAAATTAGGTAGGCGGAGTAGACAGAGGAGAATGCTGGGAAAAAGAAGCTGTGTGAGGAGTCGCCATGGTTCTCCCGCTCCAGACAGACGCAGGTTAAGATCCTCCCTGGTAAGCCAGCTCGTGGGCTACACAGAATATTA